CAGTGCAGGCGTGGACACACAGTGCAGGCGTGAGCACACAGTGCAGGCGTGGACACACAGTGCATGTGTGAGCACACAGTGCAGGCGTGGACACACAGTGCAGGCGTGGACACACCAGTACAGGTGTGGACACACAGTGCATGTGTGAGCACACAGTGCAGGCGTGGACACACAGTGCAGGCGTGAACACACAGTGCAGGCGTGAGCACACCAGTACAGGTGTGGACACACAGTGCATGTGTGAGCACACAGTGCAGGCGTGGACACACAGTGCAGGTGTGGACACACAGTGCAGGCGTGGACACACAGTGCAGGTGTGAGCACACAGTGCAGGTGTGGACACACAGTGCAGGCGTGGACACACAGTGCAGGTGTGAGCACACAGTGCAGGCGTGGACACACAGTGCAGGCGTGAACACACAGTGCAGGCGTGAACACACCAGTACAGGTGTGGACACACAGTGCATGTGTGAGCACACAGTGCAGGCGTGGACACACAGTGCATGTGTGAGCACACAGTGCAGGTGTGGACACACAGTGCAGGTGTGGACACACAGTGCAGGCGTGGACACACCAGTGCAGGCGTGGACACACCAGTGCAGGCGTGGACACACAGTGCAGGTGTGAGCACACAGTGCAGGTGTGGACACACAGTGCAGGCGTGGACACACCAGTGCAGGTGTGGCAGTGGCACAGAGTGTGAGGGAGGAAGAAAGAAACAATGATAGTAGCTTCCACTCAGCTTTTCTGTAAGCCTAAAACAGATCTAAAAGCAAAGTCCTGGGCTAGTTAGGGGATTCCACAAGCAAAGGTGCTTGCTTCTGAGCCTGATGACCTGAGTTTGAAACCCAAAACCCAGAATGGAGGGCAAGAACCGACTATGGCAAGCTGTCTTCTGACATCCACAAGTGCACTGTGGCACGGGCATACCACACACATAAACAAAATAAATGACATGTAAATATTAATGTTAAAGTGTCAATCACTATATTTCAGCTTATGCAAGAAAACAATTTCAAGATCCACTCACTAAAAGAACCTTTGAGCTAACAGTGAACAGCCAGGAACTATGAAGCTTACAAAGGGAATTTTTTTGGGGGGGGGGCATGATTTTGAGACTGGGTTTCTCTGTGTAGCTTTGGAGGCTGTCCTGCAATTAGCTCTTTTTTTTTTTTTTTTTTTTTTTGGTTTTTATGAGACAGGGTTTCTCTGTATTGTTTTGGAGGCTATTGGTCCAGCCCAGCCTCAAACTCACAGAGATCCGCCTGCCTCTGCCTCCCGAGTGCTGGGCAACTAGCTCTTGTAGACCAGGTTGGTCTTGAATTTACAGAGACCCACCTGCCTCTGCCTGCAAGTGCAGGGACTAAATGCATCCACCACTACCACCAAGACTATAAAGGGTATTTTTTAAAAATGGGTTAGGGTTACCATGGTTCTGAGGTACCATGCTTACTGTACAAGTGTGAGGACCTGAGTTCAAATCCCCAGCACCCGTGTAAAAAGCTAGTTCTGCAGCATGTTCCTGAAATCTTAGTGCTGATAAGGCAGAGAAAGGAAGATTCCTAGGGCATGCTGGCCAGCCAATCCAGCTCAACCAGTGAGCTCTGGGTTCAAGAGACCATGCTTCAACAAGCAAGATAGACTGTGACTTAAAAAGACACTGACATTGATCTCTGGCTTCCACACACAGATACATGTGCATAGGAACACACACACACACAAATACGTGAAAGTAATAAAAATCCCAGCACTAGAAAAGCAAAGGCAGGTGGATCTCTTTAAGTTCATGGCCAGGCTGGTTTACACAGTGAGTTCCAGGTCAGTCAGAACTACATAAGGAGGCTATATCAAAGAAGAAAACAAAAACAACAAAAAAGTGCCCTTCATAATATCAAACACAATAAACTTCTAAATAAAACCTCACTATGCTGAAAACTACAAGTGATAAAAGAAAAAGAACCAAGTAAAAGGAATTCAATTTTAACTCAAATAGATTGTGATATTAAGCCTCACTCTATTAAGGAGACATTATCTATGCAAAAGCCATGTGTGAATGTTTATGATAATTCTATCCATAAGCACCAAAATCTGGAAGCAGCTCAAATGGCCTTCAATGGATAAATGTACAAACCACAGTGTATCCTTGGCATGGAGTATTAGTCAGCAATTATTACAAAAACAGAAACAACAAACCCACTAACACATAATAACTTTCACAAGAGTTATTATGAAGAACAGAAGGTGCCATTTTCAAAAAGCTACATGTGTTATGACTCTCTCTGTACAATATTGTCAAAGACAAAAGGATAGTAGACAAAATAGTCAGTTCCAAGGTTACAAACTGAAAGGATACCTACTAAGGATTAGCATGTGGGAGATATTGAAGGTAGTAACCTGTTCCAATATACCGATTGCGAAGAGGTTAGATGAATCTCGGAGAGGCCAAAATGTGAAATGTGAACCAATTTATAGCATTTGAATTTGAAAAGTTTGCACTGAGTGTGATTGCTGTGCGCAATTACATGTACCTGAGTGTGCCAGCATGCATGCCTGCATACATGCATGTGAAGGGCAGAGCTATTTTCCTAATACGCTTCACCTTATGACCTTGAGACACCATCTCTGAGTTGGAAACTTGCCTACTGGCTAGGCTGCCTGACCATCCACCACCCAGGTCTCAGAGCTGCCTGAGTGTTCTTGAAATGCTGGGGTTGACATGGATACAGCACCATGCCTGGCTCACACAAAGTCATGCTTGGTTTACATACAGTCATGCCTAGCTTTCTATGTAGGTGCTGGGGATTCAAACTCACACCCTCATGTTTGCTGAACAAGTGTTGTAAAACAGTGGGCCCATTTCCTTAGTCCTTGAAAACAAAACAAAACAGAACAATGTATGAGCAGTAAAACGGACATTAAAGAAAAAACTGAGCTATGACTAAAACGAAGAAACAACGGAGCCCTCCAGCATTCCTGGTGGGGATATACAATGTCATCACTTTTTATTTGCTTGTTTTTGTTTTTCAAGACAGGGTCCTTGTGTATCCCTGGCTGTTCTGGAACTCACTCTGTAGGCCACCAGGGCCTCAGACTCAGAAATTTGGCTATTCCTGCAGGCAGAGTGCTGGGATTAAAGGTGTGTGCCACGGGGTGTCACTGTTTCTTATAAAGTGAAACACATCTACTGATTGGTCCCGTCATTCTCCTTGTAGACCTTTTAAAACGGCAACTGAAAGCTTTATATCCTTACAAAGCCTTATCTACATGGATGTTAATAATTAATTTGTGACAACCTTAAACTGGTAATAATCCAATGATTTGTGAACAAGTGAATGGATAAACAAACTGCATTACATTCCACACATTGGAACATTAGCATAGGGTTAAAATTTTGGTACACAGGACGGTGAATTTAAAAATAATTATCCGAATTAAAGAATCCAGAAAGAAATCTGAAGAGTTGCTATATGTTTTCACTTATAAACATTCAGAAAATGCAGAACAACCGATCCATCGTGACAGAAATCAGATCAGTGGCTGTCTGGGTACTTGATGCAGAGGCATCAATGTTTAAACGTTCAATGGGTTAAAAAAAAGAGTCCAAGGTAGTCAGTTATAGAAAAGGGCTAGGTAGGGTCTGTAGAGATGGCTCAGAGGTTAAGAGTAATTGCTCCTCTAACAAATGACCCAGGTTCAAATCCCATCTCTCATATGGTGGCTAAACAACCATCCTTAACTCCTCTATGGCATTTATACCAGGGCAGTACGCATAAAATAAAAAAAATTTAAGAAGCTAAGGAAAACAATTTTATGTAAACATTTAACCAATTGTTAGTAAGTGTGAGAAATGAATGAAAACGGTGTTGAATGGGTCTTCAAGTGTCCCAGTAATGACACTATTACTGTCTCTTTCATCCAAGACCACTGAGACAAGGTGAGAATAAATGACTTGTCCCTCAGCTACCTCAGTCAGAGCTGAGGTTCTAACCCAACTTCTTTCTTCTTCCACGTCTGAGTCTCTATACTGGGGCAATAGAGAAAAACAGAAGACATTGTGAAAGCCGCTACGTGACGAACTGTCGAAAGCAAACAAAAACAAAACGGAACAATTCTTTCTTGTTTGTTTTGTTTTTCGAGACAGGATTTCTCTGTGTAGCCCAGGCTGTCCTTGAATTCCCTTTGTACACCAGGCTGGCCTCAAACTCAGAGATAGGCCTGTCTCACCCTCGGGAGTGCTGGGATTAAAGGCATGTGCCGCCACCGCCTGGCTAAAACCGAGCACTATTAACTCCCCAAACAACACGCTCCACTTTTTGAACACGTTTCTGAGATCGACCAGCTCAGGGTCTTGGGACGCAGACTCCTCAGAAAGCAAACGGGAACTGCCAATTGGAAAAGATCGGAGTGTCTGGATACTGGGTCGCTGCAATTCTGGCGACAATAGGAGGGCGAGCGTCCCAGCCACAGCGACCTGGGAGAGGTAAACTCTGATGACAGCCAGGAGCTGAGTCCACGCTGAGCACTGATGCAAAGCTTTTCCCAATGCTCCCTCCCCAAACCACCCTGGCAGATCTTGGAGGACGCGATCTAGGCAACTACCAGGCCCTGGGACCGCAGGACAGAGGTCAGGACACCCCAGGCCCGGCCCAGATTGCGGCGACAGCCACCCGCCCGGGACGCGCAGGGACCCACAGCCGCTCGTCGCTCTCACCTCTCCAGTTCTTGTACTTGGGGATGTAGTAGTACTTGTTCCCCAGATGGTCCGTGCCCACGTGCTCCCTCACCTCCTTCGACAGAGAGCTCCACACAGAGCGCAGCACACCGCGCCACCAGCCCATGCCGCCGCCGCCGCCGCCAGCGCCGCGCAGCTCAAGACGAGACTGGCGCCGGCCCGGAGGCCCCGCCCACGCGAGGGCCCGCCCACCGCGCAGGTTCGCGTTCTCGCCCCTCCCAGTAACGCCTCTCCCCGTTGGTCACATCATCTCGCGGATTGGCCAATGAAAGAGCCTGTTGTTACGAGCCGGTCCAGGTTGGGTCATGGCGGCACCCAGGCCTCAAGCTGGTGTGTGGAGCCGAGATGTTGAGTTTTCTGTCCGCTCGACAGTCGGGTTTGGAGGACCCTCTTCGCTTGCGGAGAGCGCAGTCCACACGGAGGTAAGGCACGCCTTGTCTTTCCCCGTAGCGTGGCGAGTGAGACTCTGGAGCTGGCCGCCAGGGTGACAGGACCCTGGGTCGCAGGTGGAGTCGGCAGGTGACGGGAAGACGCGCGCGTGCACGTAGAGCAAAATGGGAAGGTGTTGCAGGTCACGGCTATTGTGGCTTGCCGTCGGCCTGATGAAGTTCAAAGTAGAAATGAGTGGAGTTAGGTAACTGTCGCTCCAGGCTGTCGCTCCAGGAGAGCGCGTGGCCATTCAGGGAGTGAGGTCGTCTTCATTTTTACATTTTGGTGTTCTACATTTAGAACGATACGCTCCAGAGGTTACCTAAATTGTTTTTTGGTTTGCTTTGCTTTGCTTTATCGAGACAGGGTTACTGTGTAGTTTGGAGGATGTCCTGGAACTCGCTCTGTAGAATAGCTGGCCTCGAAATCACAGAGATCCTGTCTCTGCCTCCCGAGTGCTGGGATTAACTAAATGAGTTAACATGCAACCTCCCCCCCCAACCCTTGGTTTTTCGAGACAGGGTTTCTCTGTATTGTTTTGGAGGCTTGGAGGCTGTCCTGGAACTCGCTCTGTAGACCAGACTGGCCTCGAACTCACTGAGGTCCGCCTGCTGGGGTTAAAGGCGTGTACCACCAATGCCCGGCCACAACCATTTTTTAAAAGCACATTTTGATCAGTTCTGAACATGATCTGGGTTGTTTGTGTCTGATGCTGCTGTTCCTCCATCAATTCTTGCAGAAATGATGAAGGTTGTCTTTTTTAACGCACTTCTGCATTCTTGGAGACATACACAGAGGTTTTTACTTCCGGGAAAACAAGAGCATGTTTGTGTGAGTTTTGAGTTTCTTCCATATGTTCAGCAAAGGAAACACTGGGAAATGATCGAACGTGCTCGCTTCACTTTTAATATCAGCTAAAAAAACTTTTAAAAAGCAGCAGCACTCCTTTTCTCCTCGTATTTAGTAGTTAATCTGATAATAATTTAAGTAAGCAAGCCACAGAGGATCTGGAAAATTGGGATTCTAAGTCTTGATTTCTAGATGTCCTTGGTCTGAGGAAGGCCAAGTGTCTTTGTCAACATTCCATGACCCAAATTTTTGTTTCATTAGAAAAAAATAAGAGGTCCCACCAGATTAGTCTTCCTGTAGATGGATTTCATTTCTCTGTGAAGTGTTATTCCCAAAGAATAACAAAAGCTGGAAGCTTTTATCTTAGTGACCCTGAACACTTTCCCCCACCACTTGTCTTCCGTGCTTCTAATAAAATGGTGCTGGCTGTGCTGGTATTGAGAGCACTGGTGTAGCATGAGCCTTTACTGCTTCATGTCTTAGACTGTGGGCCCGGAACAGAAAGGGCCCTAAGCAGGGGAAGACAGGTCGGGGCCTTGTGGAGTGGCTCTGGGCAGATGTTCCACCATGAGCACATAGTCCTTGTAGGTGATGCTCTGAGTTGACAGCAAGCATGTGAGCATTTGTAGCCATTACTTTTAATCTGGGAAGTTACGCATCCTGGCGGTGAACTTATTGAGAAAATGAATCTGGATCAATTGGAACTGAATCCCAATTCAGTTGCAGTTTAGATAGTTGACTGAATTGGACATAGTGACTCACGCCTTTAAACCCAGTATTCAGGTGGCAGAGGAGGTGGATCTCTGTCTGAGGCCAGCCTGGTCTAAATAGAGTTCCAGGCTAGCCAGAACTACATAGTGAGACCCTGTTTAAACACAAAGCCAACAGAAGAGCAACAAAGAAAGGCCGACTCAGGTCAGTGAAGGAGGTTTTGTGCTTCTCCCAATCAGATTTGTTCAGACTCACCCACCTGCCACCCACTGTGCCCAGCACATGCAAGCATCCAAACCTTCATGACACCCCACCTCTTCCAGCAGAGGAAGACCGTTGCTAAGTAGCAGCAGCGCATGAGCCTGGCCCACCCCATCCTGGATTGCCTGTGGAAGGGATGGAGAAGATAAATTCACACTGAATCTTTGGGTTCATACCTTATGGGAACATTTCACTGAAGTGTGTGAGTAGGACTGTTCCCATCCTGCTATCCAGGGGCATGGCCTGCCTGGTGGTGGTTGGCACAATGGCAGTGCCATTCTGCTGTGAGTTTGATATATAGGCCTCTGAGTGTCCACAGTCACTGGGTGCCATGTTTGACAGATTGGGTGGCATTTTCCGTGGGCCTTTGCTGTACATCAACATTGCCTGACACAAGCACCTCTCTTCAGCCCTCAGCATCACTTTGACCAACCATCACCTGGAGAGTGATGATTGACTAGGTCTGAGGAGGACACTACCCTGGGCTTTCCCAGAGACCCAGCCCTCAAATCCTACCTACCTGCCTCTCCTGCTGCTGCACAGTCATTGAGGAAGGCATTAGAGGAACCAGGGGCTGAGTCCTGCTAACTCTGTATCACCGGTAGATCAGCCTGCCCAGGCCTAAAACATGCTGATTCTGATGGGGCCTTCCTAGCTATCACTCCTGGCACACTAGCACGGCATCCCCCAGCACTTTTGCTAGCCCCTGGTGACCAGAGATGTTCAGCCAAGCATGTTTTCTCCTCTCCATGGAGTTTACCACCCCAACCTAATGGCTCCACACACACACTGGCCCCCAGAGATCAATTGACTCTCTAGGGGTTAGTGGCCCTGGAGGTATCTCCACAGTGACTAACTGGGAGCTCAGAATGACAAAAAAAAAAATAGCTCTAATACCAACCTTTGCTTTCTGCCTAAGACTGGGTCAAAAACTTGCCTGGTGTGGCTTCTTTTGCAGGATGGACCTGACCCCCCTCCCTCAGTAATATGCTCCAACCCTCTCTAGTCATGCTCCTCTCTCACTGCTCAGGCCACATGAGCTGCTCCCTACCACATGACATATGTTCTGACATAACATACTCATACATATAAAATAAATAAATAAGTCTAAAAATATTTAAGAGAAAAATAATGAGCCCTTTAATTGTTCCACAGCCTTTTTGTTCCCCTTTACTTTCCTGCTTTCATTTGGTTCATCTGAACATAATTTAACACTCTGCTTTAAATGTATCTGTCACTATTCTGACCATATATGGTCAGTATATATATATGTGTGTATATATATGTATATATATACATATACACACACATACATACATACATACGTACATTCATGTTTGGCTTCTCTTGATGGTTCTTTCCCATGGAAGTTGTAATTTCCATGATTCTTCATATGCAGAATAAATAATTTTGAATTGCATCCTAAATATTTGAACATTACTGGGTGCGGGGTCCTTCTTTATGCAGAATGTTGATATATTTGTTTCAGTAGTGTCCTATCAGATTAGATATAGGCTGTGGTTCCTACCTCTCTCTGTAAGCTATGGTTTCAAAGCCTTTAGGTCTTCCCATGTGCATGCATGGTCAGGCAGTGACCTAAGTGGCTCTTGGTTGAGTCTTTTGCCGGGTATTCAGAATTGGATCTGTGGACATTCCACTCTAGGATGAGCCCTGGAGTTTGTAAAATGTTTTATAGAGTGTCCCTCCTGACTTCCATCTTTGCTATGATTGCCCAAATTTCTGGAACTCCCATCATGGCCCATCAGCCAGCAAATTTGGCCTCTGGTTACTGTCATAGCACATATTTCATGTTTGGACGCAAGGCAGAGTTCAGAAGAATAAAGACAGATTAAAGAAAACAATCAAGGCACTAATGAGACAAAGAAAAGAGTGCACTTCCTTTAAGCTGCTGCATTTTAGTTTGCATTTCTACAGTCTTAAGGGGAATGAGAATCTTTTCAGTTGTGCAATTCAAAGTTTGTCCACTGGGTGTCCTCAGTCAAATTTATCAGAATTTAACTTTTCTTGAAAGTTTATCTATAGATACCTTTTTAAGGACTTAAATTCTTTAAATGAAATTTAAAGTAATAGTTCAGCAAAATATTTGCATGCAATGGTTTGCATGTAATATTTGCATGGTAAGTTGTTTTAGAGGCTTACATTTACAAGTCTGAACACCTTTAAATACGGCAAGAGACTAAAGACTTGCAATATTTGTGGTACTCTATATAATCTTAGGGAAATAAGGAATTTGCTTATGTTAAAGTTTTTCTTATTGTTAAGCTTTCTCTTTTTCTCTTTTTAATTTTTGAAGGGTCCTGGCACTGGAACTAAACAAAGACAGAGATGTTGAAAGAATCCATTGCAGTGGAGTTAACAGTCTTGACATTGAGCCTGTTGAAGGAAGATAGTAAGTTGTATCTTCACTTTTCTATCTAAATGAGATGCAATAACATCTTGTCTTTTCAGACATCACTTATAATATGTTAAAAGATTGTAAATTGTAACATTTGTTAAACTGGCATTTATTTATTTGAAATAAGAACAGAAAATCAAATATACAAAACGTTGCCAGATTAATCGATGCTCCAAACTACTATACATAAATATATTCGTATTAAATCAATAAACCAGGAATTTATGTTGATGCAGGAGGCTTCTAAGTGCTGGGATGTGTCTTAGGTGCTCTTTTAAATACAGTTGTTATTTTCAGGAAGTCTAATGGGAACTAAAATATTTAAAACAGAAATGTGTTTTGCAAATTAAGTTTGAAGCAACGGTTTTACTGAGTTTCTTCCTTACCAGTTCTGTGACCTTGTGCAATTTATCTAACCTTTCAAATTTTCAGTTGCCGTAGCTATTCCATGGGAATGGTTGTGCTACGCTTATTTGTCATAAGAATTTGAGAAAATCTGCATTGAAAGCAACTCCACATGTGTGTTTAATTGTTTCAGCTCTGCCCACACTGTAACTGGACATGTTGCCCTACTTGCAACTTGCTGTCACACCACAATACCCATGTGTGAAGGTTTGGGAAGGGTGCAGCTCTGTCAGCATGCATGCACAAGGATCTGGGTTCAGTCTAGAGCAGAAAAGGGAGGAGAAAGGCGGTAAAGGAGATGGGTTCAGACCTCTTCATGTGCGCTGAGGCTGTAGTTCAGTAATAGACCCTAACTTACTATGTACAAAGTGCCTGGACTCAAGCCCTGGCACTATAACAGAATGAAACAAATCCATCTTTATGTGGTCTATAATTAGACCATGTATTTCAAAACACCTAAGGAAAACAATTTCTTGTGCTGTGGTCAATTCAGCACTCACACTAAGAGTTTTGTTCCATAGAAAAGTGTTATCATTCACTTTAACATAAGCCAGGATAGGTTTGACAGACTTGGACTTTCCACTCTCATCTTTGCCATAATAATGGTATGTAAGAAATGTGTGGTGAACAGTTCTCCATTTAGCACATGGTTAAATTTAAAAGATGGTGCACAATAATTATTTTCTTTTCCCAGCTTTTCAAGGCAAAACATATTGTTTCCTGTTCAAGCACAGTTGTGGTGCACTTGTTTATAAAATAGATGCAGATCCAAGGAACAAAGGACAGCTGATTTCTTTTGGTCATTGGTGCCAGTAGGGAAAAATATAGTAGCGTCCAGACAGCTGTTTGACATAGTGATTATGTAACCTGTGAGGTACAGTAACAGTTAGCAGAGTTAGTCCGTACTGATGGATTACAGTTTATATATGTATGTATGAAATAAGTTTGGGGAATAAAAGCTGTTTTCCTGGGACAGCAAAAGTCCAAGCTAGTGGGGTATCTGAAAGCTTAGCAGGCTGGTCTGATTACAGCAGTGACCCCAGAGAACATGGTATGCCCCAGTTACAGGTGAGTTGAAGGCCCCCTGAGACTGGAAGGAGCTCAGTGTGGCCCCTATAATCCCTCCCAGGAGCTAATAAGTCAGCTCCCTGACCTGCCTTACATTGAAGAATAGAACCCAGCTTGAGCAGTGCTGCGTAGTCGACACAAGGACAACCCAGATACAAGTTTAGGACACGCACAGAACCAGGAAGTCTCTGGTTAAAAGCTTTCGTGTTTTTAAGTGTCTTTCAGAAGAAAAGAACGTGTATTTTAGGAAGAGTATTCTAAATTTTACAATCTAAATTCTAACTCCATTCTGAAGGGTTAGGAAAATTACACAAAAAATGAGATAAGAGTTAAGAGAATAAGGAGAACTGACTACCACTACAGGCAGTGATGTCCTGCCAGGCAGGTTATGCTATGAAATGTGAGAATGTTAATCTTTCAAAACTAACAGAAAGTCAGTTTGTTTAGCGTGCGTGCATGCATGTGTGTGCACGCTGAATTTAGATCATCATGTCTGTGTGACAGACACTTTAACCAACTGATCTGTCTCTCTAACCTAACCCCAAAACAGTTTTAAAAGGTGGAATCCATGAAAGAATAATGTACATTCAAATAGAAAAATCTCAGAAATGATGTTATCAAACCAGGAAACATTAGAAATAACAGAAAAATATTTCAGAAATGAAGCAAAGCATAAAGAACACAAGCAAATCAATACAAAGTGTAATTCCTTAGAAATAGAAGCCAAAAAAACAGCAAGAACTTGGGATCAGAAAGAAAGGGAAGAAAGACTGGGCTGTAGCTCAGTGGTGGAGTGCTTGACTCGTGTGTGTGTGTGTGTGTGTGGTGTGTGTGTGTGTGTGTGTGTGTGTGTGTCTGTCTGTCTGTCTGTCTGTCTGTCTGTCTATAGGTTCAATCCCAGCACTAACCCCTCCTCCAAAAAGGAAAAGAACAACAGAGTGAAGGTAGTCAGACAAACAGAATAAAGGCCAAGAAGACCCAGGCTGCATACGACAGGAATCACAGAGAATACCAATGCAAGCAAGCAGAATAAATATGAAACTATAATGAAATAAAACTTTTTACTTGGAACAAAATCTACAAGAGCCAGTGTGGTCGTGCAGGCCTTTACTCCCAGCACTCAGGCGGATCTCTGTGGGTTTCAGGCCAGCATGGTCTACAGAGCAAGTTCCAGCACAGCCAAGGCTACACAGAAAACAAAACAAAAAGGAAGACTCTCCTCCCTGTCTCTCTCTCTTTTCCCTTCCCTTCCATACTTTAGTTATATATTTCTTCCTCATTCATTAGACTGAGTATAGATTGTGACTTTCACACAGCTTATTGTCCACTTTCTCTTCTGCCTTCAGGTACCAGTTTAAATACTATATACAAGGATGATGTCCTTGAAGCTTCAAGCTAAACTAAAAGGAGCTTATTGCCACAGTGGTCCCATTTACAACTTACTGTTTATGAGATAGCTACAACATCTTTTCTGCTAGGCTAACTTTCCAGGTGGTCAGGGGTGTGGTGTGCCTGTGTTGTTCACAGTTCATTAGCAGAGTGTCTTAAGCATTGTAGGCACTCGGCACAAATGAGTTGATTAAATATGCTTATAAAAGAAAGGAAACCAGCTCCCATTTACTGTCACATCAGTTTTGTCATTTAGGTGAAAATGTCCCCCTTTCAATATTGCTATTCTTATAAATGTTGAAAGGTTGAGTAGGTGATGTAACTTGTCCAGGAACAGGTAACTACTGTCAGTAATAGGCCAATTCTGTTTTCATTTAGTACAGATTTAAGAAGACGTGTAAAATGATACTGTAATATTTTTACTTTGCTAAGTAAATATCTTTGCCATCTTATTTCTACAATCTTTTTTTTAATCGTGGAGGTAAACTTCAAATGATCAAAGGTTGAGTTTTTCTATATTTGGACTTTTATAATTCTTAAAAAATTCCAGTTTATTGAAGTCTGTTAGAATGAACTTATTATCTTAATACTTCGGGGTATATATAGGTCAGTGTTTGCAGAAATGAAATCTCCATCAATAGGTGTACCTCTTACAGTGATTAATGTGACTTTTTTGTTGTCAGCATGTTATCGGGTGGTTCAGATGGTGTGATTGTACTCTATGACCTTGAGAACTCCAGCAGACAACCCTATTACACATGTAAAGCAGTGTGTTCCATTGGCAGGTGTGTATTTGAAAGTGTAACTCATGAATATGTAAATAGTTCAATATTATTTGCATCAAATGCAAAGCATGAAAATAACAACAATATGCATGGTGGAAACAAATTTTTCAATTGACAGTGATAGCCCTTGATGCTTTCTTGAAAACAATTAAAATTCAGTAGATACTTTTGTCACATGATTTCCTCTAGTTTTTATATCAGCTTTCAAATGAATTTTGTTTTTGTATTTTTGGTTTTTTGGTTTTTCGAGACAGGGTTTCTCTGTATTGTTTTGGAGGCTGTCCTTGAACTCACTCTGTAAACCAGGCTGGCCTCGAACTCACAGAGATCTGCCTGCCTCTGCCTCCTGAGTGCTGGGATTAAAGTCGTGTGCCACCAACGCCCGGCCTCAAATGAAATTTTAAAAAGACTTTTGTGCCCTTTTTTGTTCTGTACCAACAGAGCATACCTCAGTAGCTATGGTTTTTAATACCACTTAATATAAGGTTCATTTATGAACCTTTCAGCTAATTATAATGCAAACTAAGTTTTCAACTCATGTTAATGGGGAATAGATTAAAAACAGGATGTAATAAATATACAGGCAGTCCTTGACATACCTGCACATAAATGTGCGTGCGCACGTGCACACCCTGTTTCTTACCTGTTTACTCGTTCAAAACTGCTCAACTTGAACCAAGCAGTGGTGGTGCATTCCTTTAATCCCAGTGCTCAGGAGGCAGAGGTAGGCAGATCTCTGAGTTTGTGGCCAGCCTGGTCTACAGTGCTAGTTCCAGGACAGCCTGTGCTGCACAGTGAAACCCTGTCTTGAGAAAAAACAAAACATCCTCAACTTAAAAATATATACCTGTTTGTCTTGACTTCCCTGGCTATTTGATAGGGGTTTTTTTTTGTTTGTTTGTTTTTTGTTTTTTGTTTTGGGCTGGTCATTTAAAGCTCTTTTGCCATCTCTGATCTGTCCGTAAGTCAACTTTGCCTTAGAGACTAGCTGCCAAAGGGTACTCCCACAGGGAGAAGCTTGCAGAGCTCAGAAGTCATCCTGCTGTAGGTGTTCCCAAAGCACTGACACCCATGTAGGAGGAGAGAATTGGCAGTTAACACTAGGTCCATTTAGCAAATAACAGTAGGAGGTAAGTTGCTGCAGAGCCTGTGAACTCCCTAGCGTGGGCTTTTGACCAAGTTTACAGTACCAGCACAAACTCCTTTCTGTGGAACAGATCTCAAATCCAGTCTTGACACTGTTCACCAGCTTACTGGCAGGTTGTAGGATGCAGGGTCTATTTTTGGGTAGTACCTGATGAGGCTTCTTTCCTAATGATCTGCAGGCACCTTCCTTCACTGTGAAAGATAGCCAGCTGGGAGGAGGGTTGCAGGTGGGTCAGTTCCAGCTTGATTTCTCCATGTCCTACAACCAAGGTATAGTGTGTCTTCAGCAATAATGTCTTACCATCTAGTTAATGATGGACAACCAAGATTAGTAGCAATAGCCTAGAGCCTCCCTGAGTGATAGCACAATATGAGATCTACTTTTTAAGATGCTTGAACCATTTACATACTTTTCTTCAACCTTAATCAAAACATATATATAAATTCTAAAGTGCTGACCTAATTCAGAGATCTGCTTCTGCCTCCTAAGTGCTGGAATTAAAGCTACACCTAGTTTTAAAGACTAAGGCTATCTAAGATTAAAATTTAACACATCAAGTTTATTAAATAGTGAGACAGATATTTTATGTATTTGACATATGTATGTTATATAATGTTACTCTATGAAGGAAGAACTATGATTTGATGGTTTTTTTGGTGTGTAATATCAATTGTTGAGTATGTCTTTATTTTATTATGACTTTTATTCCTAAATTCAAACTCTAAAAGTATGACTTTGCATTTCAAAATGGGTATTTTACAATATCATTTAAAAAATAATTTCAGAAAAGTATAGTATTGAGTTTTTTATTATGGTTATTTATTGTAATATTGTGCCTTAGACCACTTTGTAATATTTATCATTGGTATGCTTAATTTTTTTGTTCTTGAGCATTAAAAAGATTCTACTACCAAAATTCTTGCTAAATGTACATGAGAATGACATCATATGTAAGAGAATGATACAACATGTTTAAGACTTAAATTTAAAATGTAAATGAGCTTTTGTTTGTATTTCTACAGTAGGACTGGTTTTATTTACAACTCATTAGAAAGTCTATTGAAATCAAGGTTCTTAGAGCATATTAAGGTAATTCTGCTTACTTTAAGTAGAAACTTATTGGAATGAAGATTATATCTTATGAAATTGGGAGAAAATGAGAGAATCAGATTTACAGGAAAAAAGAAAGGAAGGAAGGCTAAATCAGGGAACACACAAGGTCACACTACAGAAGTAATTCTATTAAAAGCACTTTGGTCATGTACCAATGTAGGCCAACTCTACAGCCCTAACCAACACTAATTTTCCTCGGGATTTCCACTCAGACCTGGAGATTCAGAGTTCCAAACAGATTGATAAAGCTCAGCACACAGCTTTGGTGGCAAGAAAGAGGAAAAGACAATGCCTAGAGTCCTTGATTTCTATAACAGAAAGTAGGTACTTGATCTCAACAAATCAGAGGTTCCAGTAACTCACAGTTTGAATTCTTAGAATTAAAAAAAAAGGCACATGGGTACTGCCATCCATACATTTGACTGTCCAACATCTGTATATGCCTCGTCTGTAGCCTTTAAAAACGCAGTTCTGACATGACCTAATGATGTGTCTGCAATATCAGTTACGCAAACTGTGGGCTCAAGTATATAGTTAACCCATAAAAAATGCTGGAGGAAGCAGGAAAGTTATTAATATACATACACATATGCACACATACACAAACATGGGTAGTCACAGACTATATATTATATACATCTGTCTCAAGGCCAGAGCAGGACCTTGCCTCTATTTGATGCTACAGATGCTCAGGGCCCTTAGTCTAGTATTGAGACTTAGACCTTCACTCTTCGAAACTGGAGCCCATAATGGTCCTGTTTGCATAGGGTTACATATTGTTCCTTAAACTTGCTTGTTTTATTATTGGGAATTTCGCCATGTACAAACGTAGAAAACAATATAATGAATGACCTATTTATTCATCACCCGACTGTCAATCATAAGCAGTTTGTTTCATGTCCACCACATGCTCATCCAGGTTCAGGATTTTTGGGGGGGGAGGAGAGTGTTCGATATAGGGTTTCTCTGTGTAGCCCAGTCTATCTGGAACCAGGATTTTTTTAAAGTAAATTACAGATAACATTATTGCATCCAGGATTACTTGTTTGTATCACTAAAATGAAAACTTTTTTCTTTCTTTCTTTTTTTTTTGTAAATATACTCCTAGTACTACTGTCTCAAATCCTGGTCTACAAGAGCTACTTCCAGGACAGTATCCAAAGCTACACAGAAAAACCCTGTCTCAGGAAAAAGAAAAAAATAAAAAACAAAAAAAATCAAACTAGCCGGGCAGTGGTGGCACACGCCTTTAATCCCAGCACTCGGGAGGCAGAGGCAGGCAGATCTCTGTGAATTTGAGGCCGGGCTGGACCGACAGCCTCCAAAACAATACAGAGAAACCCTGTCTCGTAAAACCAAAAAAAAAAAAAAAAAATCAAACTACTACTATCTCACATATACATTAATCCCTGGAATCAAACATCTAATGTTCAGATTTCCTTCCTTTTCTCAAAAATATCACAATTCCAGTTAGTAAAGTAAGATGGCATATGTACTATATTGATGACTGGTCCAGAGAAAACACCGTGTCTTTTTTTTTTTTGGTTTTTATGAGACAGGGTTTCTCCGTATTGTTTTGGAGGCTATCAGTCCAGCCCAGCCTCGAACTCACAGAGATCCGCCTGGCTTTGCCTCCCGAGTGCTGGGATTAAAGGCGTGCACCACCACCGCCTGGCAAACACTGTGTCTTTTAAGCAGGACAGCCTTTCACAAGATGATGTATATAGTTGCATGATGGGTTACATGAAACTAGCAGATCCCATTGACACTCACCAATTGCATTCTTTTGTTTCAGAGTAAGTTTCTTGGTAAACAGTATTGTGTGGATTCCCATGGTGGTGTGTGAAGCATCTCACAGTTCTAATAATAATAGTTGAGAAAAGAGTAGCCAAAAGATGTATTTCTTCCAGTAAGGAAAACCATTGCCATCTGCAAGGTGAAAGAAGTCTGCTATAGTTGGCCAATACCCCACCCCCAACTGTATACAATACAAGAATGAGTGGTATCCCATGATATCCAGCATTGTGAGCCTTAGAAGGAGGCAGGCCTCCCAACATCTCACTATGGGACCTTAGTCTGTAGGTGCCTAGACATTCTCTCTCCCCTTCTGAACAGCTAGGACAGGTATGTGTGATATAAGTGTAGTGTACCTATGCCTGCTACTTTTTCATAATAATACATTTGAAACCCACCCAAGTGAGCAGTCTCTAAATTTCAATTGCTGTTTTGTAGAAGCCATCCCGATGTCCACAAATACAGCGTGGAGACTGTTCAGTGGTACCCTCATGACACAGGCATGTTCACATCCAGCTCATTCGATAAAACTCTGAAAGTGTGGGATACAAATACATTGCAGGTAAGTGCATTACAGTCTTTCCAAATTGCTATGTATGATAATGGAAAATTGAACCCTCAACCATATTGGTGTGGTTTCTTGCTAAGATATTCTGTGTGTCAAATATGAAAGCAGTACATTTAAGGAAAACTAGGTGGTGGGCTTATATCCTGGCTAACTAACTTCTGCTGGGTAACACTGTGGCAGTGGGCAAATGCCACAGCACCCTGCATCTCTGTTCCCTCATCTGTAAACGAGGACCAGGATGGCACCTTCTAGAATGGTGTGAGAGTTAAATAAGCCAATATACGTAAGATACCTAGCACAAGGCCTAGCATGTAATTGGCATTCAAAACCTTAGCAAATATCCTAATTATTTGAAAACTTCGAGCTAAGAAATAGAATTGGACTTTTCCTCTCTTGCAGGAAAAGAAAGTTTTTATAATATAGCTTAGTAAAAGTAGATAGTAGAGATGAGAATTACATGATAATTAGTGAAATTTAATTTATAGTGCTCTTCCTCCTCAGCATTTTATCTACCTGCCCGTAAAACCTCTTTATAGAAATGTGACTTCTCTTTACAGTTGGCATTTCCTGGTCTAAATAGTAAATTCTGTGCTAGCCAGAGCTATATAGCAAGAGTCAGTCTCAAAAAAACCACAACGGAATGCAACATGTATGGCAAAGATTAAACACATGTCATTAACTTTCCATTCTGACCACAATGGGTAATTGAGGATTCTCTCCCTCCCACCAGTTCCGAGATAATCACTCAGAGACTTCATATTAATTATAAATGTTTGGTTGATGACTCAGGCTTATTACTAGCTAGTGCTTGCATTTAAATCAACCCATTCCTATAAATCTGTGTATCACCACGTGGCCTGTGGCTTACCAGTGGTGCTCTGGCATGTTGCTCCATGGGCAGCTGCTAGCATCTCCTAGATTCCACCCCTTCTTTTCCTGTATCTCTGCTTGGATTTTTCCGCCTGGCTCTGTTCTGCCTTGCCATAGGCCAAAGCAGCTTTATTTATCAACCAATGAGAGTAATACATATTCACAGCATACAGAAAGACCTCCCATTGACAAAACCTGCAAAGTTTTGTTTAAAGGTTGGTTCTCAGAGGAAAAACGGTTCGTAGAAGTAAATTCAACTTTACAAATACTTTTCACTCTTATGTTTTTATGAACTGCAGGAGACTGAGAAGGCAGGCATTGGAGAGCTTTTAAGAGAAAGAGCAGCAGCTGGTCACGTTGTGTGTGCCTATAAGTCTAGCATTTGGGGGCTAAGGCAGGAAAGGCATGAGTTTGAAGCAAGCGTGGACTATCTTAGGGTAGCAAGATTTTAGCCTTAGAGCAGCAACAACAAAAACACACAAGACTGGGTTCCAGGTTCTGGAATGGGATTTGGATTATTTATTATGTTTGAGGGGTTTACAGGAAATCTGTCTGGAGATAATCGGGAACTGATCTCTTTGTATCTGATGTGGGAGTGAGGTCTACACTGAAAATAGAGATTGTGAATCAGTAATACTTGATTGAAGAGAAAAAGCAGGGTGGCCAGGGTTAATAGGACAGAAGAAGCGGTAACGAATGCTGCAAAAATAGTGAAAAGGAATAGAATAACTAAGTTATCAATGATAGTGAAAAAGTAGTGTGAACAAGAAAAGTGAAACAAAACTAATATTGAGTTAAGAAATGTTAAGTATGGCTTGGAGAGATGACTCTGGTTAGAAGTACTGTCTGCTCTTCCAAGGGACTCGGTTCAGTTCCCAGCACCCTGCTGTCTGTAACTTCAGTTCTAGGGGATTTGACACCCTCACACAGACATGAATGCAATGCACATAAAATAAAATTAAATAAATTATTTTACAAAAATAAATGATAAGTGATTAAAGATTGCTAAAATTGGTTGACATGAAGAAGAGGAAAGAAAATTGAGGGGTGGTAGAGTGAAAACTATTATTTTGTTCTGGGGGATAGTAAGGTGAAGCTGACTTTACTTTTAGTGCTGCTGGGAATGACACAGTGGATAATCACTGCTAGCTTGTAGATTGAGATTGCCAGTGTTGAGGGGGGCAGAGAGATTAGCTTGTGAAATAGGGGAAGGACTGTTTTTTCACAATGGAAATGAAGAGAAAGCTTAAGTATAAGTGACTGGCAGCATGAAAGACTGGGCAATTTCTGATTCAGTGACTTTTATTTTCTCTGAACTAAAAGATCTAATCACCAGTTGTGGTTAAATAGGGATGTTTGTGAACAGTTGAGAAAGTTGGAAATGCTGCAGGATATTGCAGACAATTAGTTTAGTGAAACAGTGCATTATAGGCTGGCAGTCATTAGTGAAGCCTGGTTGCAGTGAATTCAGCTAGGAAAAAGTGGACAGGAGGCAGAGGCAGACACCCACAGCTAAACACTGAACTGAACTCCTGGAACCCAGTGACAGAGAGGGAAGAGTGATGAGCAAAGGGGTCAAGACTGGACTGGTGAAACCCGGAGAAACAGTTGACCTGAACAAGGGCAAGATCTTGGATCCCAGACTGATGGCTGAGAGGTCAACATGGGATTGATCCAGACCCCCTGAATGTGGGTGTCAGTGAGGAGGCCTCGGCAATCTCTGGGGCTTTGGGTAGTAGATCAGTATTCATCCTGGCACACAGATGGATTTTGGGTGCCCATCCTGCAATGGCGGATAATCTCTCAATCTGGAAACTTGGGGGGAGGGCCTGGGCACTCCCTGGAATGAAATGACAGACTCTAGAGATCCATGGAGGGCCTCGCCCTCCCTGGGGAATGGAGTGGGGATCGGGTGGGAGGCTGGGGGATGGGGGGGGCAGCGTGGAGGGGAGGGAGAGGGAGCTGGGACTGACATGTGAAGCAAGCTTGTTTCTAATTTCAATATATAATAAAAAACAAAGTGGGCAGGAAAGAATGCTGGGGACTCTGGGGCTTGCTCAAAAGTTCCAGAGTAGCTGGTGAAGAAAGCCACAAGGATAGATGCTATGGTTACAGATAACAGCAGTTTATCCTTTCAAAAGAGTGTGATTAGCATCCTGGAAACTGAGGCCATGTGGTGCTGAGACACAGAGATGGAGACAGGGATGGTGAGTCAGTGGAGATGCTAGCTTGTTAGAGAGGGATAGTGAGCCAGAGGCTGTCTTTCCTTGATTTCTGGGGTTTGTTATGTTTTAATTGATAAATTGGTAACCATCAATTAGAAATGTCTAAAATTGGGAAAGAAAATTTGTTGCTTTGGCTTTACCCATTTTAACATCCCTTCATTAACAGGCTGCCGATGTGTTTAATTTTGAAGAAACAGTTTATAGTCATCACATGTCTCCAGTGGCCACCAAGCACTGTCTGGTAGCAGGTGTGTACAGCATACTTTTGCCTTTTAGCATATGGAAAACTCTCCCATTTAGTGTTAGTTATGTTTGACAGAAAAACTTTAACCCGGGGAGATTATTTTAAACACTGTAAATGAGTTAAGTCCAGCACATGTGATTATCTAGGATTCGATCCTCTCTCTCCCTTTCTTTTTCCCTTTGCTTTGTTTCCTTCAGAGAACTTGTATCTGTCCCCTGAGGAGTTCTTTTAAATCACTGAACTTTAAGGTATTTAATGTGAGCAAAATATGGCAACTTGGAATGATGAGGTAACTAAATGGGTAGGGCTGTCCACTGCCACACCTAATACCTAGAATTTGATCCCTGGAACCCACACGGTAGGACAGAGCTGACCACAGCAGGTTGTGCTGTAACCTTGACACACCCTGACTATCACACACAAAGTAAATACAATTTTTATAACTTTTCCAGTTCAACACAATAAAAGGAAAACTTTCTCTTTAACATTGTAATTGAAAGCAAATAGGTATTTGTATGAATCTAGTAACAACAACAACAAAAATAATGTATAAAGAAGAAAAGAAATGTTATCCTACTATCGGGTATCTGGTGTCAGGACTCAGTTATTCCTAGGTAGTGCATGAGTCTTCTCACAGCTGTACATCAATCAGCTGCTTCATCTGTAAGAGCTACATACTTCCTGATCTTCCAGATCTGCTCATCTCAGTCACTGTGAACCTTTTCCAACAACCAGAGGGATAGCAATAGCATTAGCGTGGGAAAACTGAGCAGTTGAAATTGGATGGCTTCATGTGATAAGAACCTTACACACACATAAGGTACTGCTAGACATTTCCTCATGGTATTTTGCTGTGAAGTAGCCCTACAGCCTAAGTAGATCTGTAGCTGTTGTAATGAGATCAGGCTGTGGAACACACAGTTCTGCATGAATAAAGCACAAAAACAGGATCATTCCTGTAGTCATAAACATTCAAGGTGATTTAGATGTTTGTAAATGTATTATGACATACATTTTATATTTCTGTGTAAATACAGTGAAAATGTTATAATTCTTTTTGTGTGTGTGTGGTTTTTTTGGTTTTTTTTTTAATTTAAATTAGAAATAAGCTTGTTTTACATGTCAATTCTGGTTGCTTCTCCCTTCCCTCCTCCCCTGCCCCCCCGCTGGCCCCTATCCCATCCCCTTTCTGCTCCCCAGGGAGGGTGAGGCCTTCCATGGGGGACCTTCATATTTATCATATCATTTGGAGCAGGGCCTAGGCCCTTCCCCATGTGTCTAGGCTGAGAGAGTATCCCTCCATGTGGAATGGGCTCCCAAATTCCATTCATATACTAGGGATAAATACTGATCCGCTACCAAAGTCCCCGACACCCACATTCAGGGCATCTAGATCAGTCCTATTCTGGTTTCCCAGCTATCAGTCTGGGGTCCATGAGTTTCCCTTGTTCAGGTCAGCTGTTTCTGTAGGTTAAAATGTTGTAATTCTTACTGGTAATTTTCTGGGATCTTTTCTTATCATTTACAATAAATACTATATAAAATCTTTTCATTTATTTTCTTTAACAGTTGGTACTAGAGGACCCAAGGTACAACTTTGTGATTTAAAGTCTGGATCCTGTTCTCACATTCTCCAGGGTATTTATTTTTAAATTTGGAACTACTACTATGAGTAAACTATTCAGTAAAAAAAAAAAATTTACTAACAATGTGTTCTTTGTAAATGACGTGACTGGTGCCTTTTGTACTAGTTGTTAAGTCAACAGAGAGATAAAAGTCCTTCTGTGCATTATTCTTGTCAAACTGGACTATTGAGACATTTATACGAACAGTGACTGTAAGGGAAACACAGAGGAGATGGGGAATAGAAAACCCAGCTCAGAGCCTTCAGCTGTTTCTATATTTAAAGCAATAAATGAGTAATGGAACTTGCATCATTAGATGTGTCTTATGTCTACTGTTTGATCATGTGACTAATGAGGAAGCTTCATTCTTAATATTTAAAACTCTTCTCAGTACAAATATTTTAGAAAAAGTCTTGAAGCAATACTTTGGGGAAAACTATATTAATATAAATAATTTTATTAATTTTTAGCCATATTAGATCACATAATTCATTAGATCACCTAATTCTAAACAATGAAATGTTGGAATATAATTTAGAAATATACATTTTTTATCAATCACTGAACATAATAATGTCATAAAATTGATGGAATGGATAGCCTTTTTTAATGTTTATTTTATTATTTTATGAGTATGAGTGTTTTCCCTGCATGTATATATGTGCAACCTGTGTGCCTGGTTCCCTTGGATGTCAGATGAACTGGAACTAAGTTACAGTTATGAGCTGCCTTGTGGTTGCTGAGGTCAAACCCCAGCCATCTGCAAAAGCAGCAGGGCTCTTAACCACTGAGTCAGTTCTCCAGTCCAGTGGGTAGCAATGACATTGTTATTAACAATCACTGTGATTGAAAGACTGGGCAGATGAAAATGTCTGATTTGAATAGTTCCATTAGGTAAAGCTATTCTATGAATTTATCATCTGTGTTTTCTAGAAACAAAACTATTAAAATGCTTTTTTCAATCAAGAGTTTTTCTTTTATAACTATAAGAAATTATAAAATATTTTATTTCTTTAAAATGGTTATATTTAATTGCCGTGCATTTCTAATATAGAGATAGATGCTTCGGTTATGTGGACTAGATTGATACAAATTAGTAATTGTATTTTTCCCAAAGCAGAAGCCAATCCTTTTATATTAAAAGGTCCTGGTTTAAGAATGGTCCACCTCTCTTACATTAGTATTTAAACACAGACACTGCAAGTGTAAGAATTGATCCTATCCCTTCACTTGCTATTTGTGCTTGCTGTATTCTGAGTCAGGCAAAATTATTGGCACCTTATAGGACTTTTTATACACTTGTATTTGCAGGTCATAGACAGGAAATACTGGCAGTTTCTTGGTCACCACGCTATGACTATATCTTGGCAACAGCCAGGTAAAGTGTAGCATATTTTGCTTTACTATTAACATTAATAATTAGAGGCATTTCAAAAGATTGCATTTTTATAAGACACATATTTTGTTGTATGTAGTTGTTAGTACCTGAAAATGAAATATTGAGTACCAAATTTCAGTTTTTATCAGCAAAGAGAATTTCCTTTGCATCTTTTGTGTGGGTTATGTGTGCAAGTGCACATGTATGTGTGTGTAAGCCAGGAGTTAACACTGAGTGTCTCATTTACCTTCCTCTATATGTGTCTTCCATAGCCCTGGATGAGCCTTGGGCTCATCAGGTCAGGTGGGTGGGCTGGCTTGTTTCCATATCCCAGCTCTGGGATCACAGAAGCACACAGCTGAACTTGGCTTTTCAGGACCTGCACTCATGTCCTCACACTGCTGCTGCAGGCTTTACCTGTTGACCATCTGCCCAGTGCCCTCTTTTGCGTGATATCCATCTTGAAAGCTTTCACCTTTTAGAACAGAGAAAGCAGGAGAACCTCCGTAGTTGCATAAATCGTCTAGCACTGCTAGTAAAACTTGTTGTTTTACTTGTGGAAGTATAACACTACTCACTTAAGAGTAGCATTTTTTAAGTTTCTTTAGCCCAGAATTTTGCCCTGATATGAAGTACCCATCTATGATTTAGTTTGTTAATATGTAATGGCTACTACCTGTTCCAAATATTGTACTAGAGACACAGGTTAACACCATGATGTCAGAAAGACCCATGCCTACAGAACACACTGGAATGCCTTAGCAGCAGTAGACCTTCAGGAACTAATACTGAAAGAGGTCCAAGAGTTGAGGATGGAGACTGTTCATTGGAGGGAGAAATAACAGTGAAAAGTAGACTTTCAGCAACTCATACAGGAAGAGAGTAGGAGTGTTTGCCCTCTGTGAGGTTGAACGGTGTGAGGGTGGGGCTTGTTTATTGAAGTGTGAAATACAGGCTGTGGGAGAGAGACTGGCTACAAGTACATATAGGACTGCTGGACAGCTGTGCTCAGTTCAAGAAACAGTGACTTTTTTGTTGAGAGGTGGGGTTTAAAGGAAAGTACCTCAACATATGGAAGTTGTGGGACCCCTGCTAAAACAAAGAAAATCACACACAAACACACACACACACACACACACACACACACACACAGAGTAAGAGGTAGGAGGCATCAATGACCTGAGGGGGTAAAGTATGTGATTTCTGAGCTGAGGTACAGTGATGTCTAGATTGTAGCTATCAAAAGACATCTAGGACTGGCAAGATGGCTTAGTAGTGAAGATACTTGCTGCCACGTGAGCCAGCCGAGTTCATTCCCCAGAACCTGTGTGGTGGGAGGAGAGAACCAGCTCATGCAAATTGGCTTGTACTCATGCATGCATGCCTGTATGCATGCATGCACACACATACATGTAAATAAGTAAAATAGAGTTTTTAAGGAATACTAATACTGTTAAGGTCTTTATGAACACATGATAGATGAATGGATCTGATTGGGAGCACATGTTATTACTGGGTGTTTCTTAGAGGAGAAATTGATACATAATCTATCTTTGCCTTTGTTGTATCTACTTTCTAAAAGATAGTAAATATAGTTTTCTAGCAAACACTTATTTGAGCACAAAAGCAAATGAAAATAGATTGTTCTTATTATGTATCTTATTTTCAAACTTTTAATATAAGAAGCGAGATACCTCAAATTGATGCCTAAATAAATGCTTAGACACTGAGATTCCTTAACTGCTTAGCTGTCTAGATAGCATTTGAGAAATAGCAGAAAAATATGTCATAATTAGTGCAATAGGAGATATAACGATAATCGAGGCTATATAGGGAAAAACAATATATTTATTTATCAGGGAGAGAGAGAGTCGTACATACCAGGAGTTAGAAGCGTGGCTGGCTTTTAGGAGAAAAAGAGGGAGGCCCCTTTTTCTTTTACTACCTTTTATCTCTACCTTGACCCCGCCCTGTTGGGCGGGTAGCTTTGTGGGGTTCACTCCTACAATTCCCCTTTTAGTCTAAATAGAAGATTTAAATTTGATATAAACTCAAACATATACAACATATATACATAGAGGGTGATAATTAAGTTATAATCTACTTATCCTAAACTAAACATATCCATTCCACCTAAATTCTAAACTTATCCGAAAGGGATGCCTAAGTCTGAACACCTCCTTCCGGTTCCAACCCTAAATAATTGTAAATTACACTAACAGGGGTAAACTATCCTTTTATGTCAATAGTAGGGAGAGGGGACGTGGAATTCTCAAAGTTACTTCCTGCTGAAGTGGGACGATGAAGTGGGGACCTGTGGGAAAAAATTGTTAGTATAACAAGAGTCTTAAATAGGTCGTTTTGCAGGAGAGGCTTGACTGAAGTTCCGGATTAGATTTTTGATTTTGATTGAAGCTCTTGTCTGAAGCTCTGATCAGATTGTAGAAGATGCACTGTATCAGTTTCTTGGCCTGACGATGTGTCGGGTGATGTAGTTCCAAGCTGGTTTCAGGATGGTGCCTGTCAGGTGGGGTCGATGATGTGGGGCAGTTCAGATGTATCCAGTCGAATCAGGCAGAGTTGGGAAAGTGAATCCACATTGTCTTTCTGAAGCAGTTGAAGATCACTGTCAAGAAATCCCTTTGTCTCTAGAAAACTGAAATATTAATGTTAGTACAGAAATTTTTAACTTTTATGTGTATGAATACTGGAAAAGGCAACCCTGAGGAAGATAATACACATGAAGGAGATTAGAGTTTTAGAAAAATCAAATATACACAGTTGACAGTCCCCATATATGTATGTCTTTTTTTTGATGTTGTTTTTGTCTTATATCAATGGCTCTTTGATATAATACAGAAAGTCTGAATTACATTTTAACAATATGCTTGGGTTTAAAGTAGGAGAGCCAATCCAACTCCAAAGCCAGCAATAATTAAATGAATTGGGACTCAGGCATATTAAGAAGTGGAAGAAATAGAAATTATAATAACACAATACAGAGATGTAGACATTGATAACACATCACATTATTTCATGTTTGGTGGTCCTCTGAGTAGCTATCCTTTTTTCTTTAGGTATCCATATACCTAGGGTTTTTAATTGTCCTGTAAAGACACAAACAGAATACTACCTTTTATCTCTACCTTGACCCCGCCCTGTTGGGCAGGTAGCTTTGTGGGGTTCACTCCTACAAGGAGAAAAGCAGAATTTTGCCCTTGTGTTTTATCTGATAAGGAAAATTACCTTTCTTTGCTCTTTTTTCACTATTTTATGGAACTGTTGAGTTTTGACTGTTAAAAATAAGAATACAATGTAATTGTAGAAATATCTTTGTGCCATAGAGGAAAAACCTCTGTGTTCAAGTTGGTAAAGTAAAGAGTGAAGTCATTACCCTAGCTACATTTGTCAGTTTAAGTGTTTTGTTTTCCTCAGTGCTGACAGTAGAGTGAAATTATGGGATGTGAGAAGAGCATCAGGATGTTTGCTCACTCTTGATCAGCATAATGGGAAGAAGTCACAGGCTGTTGAATCAGGTAACAAAGACCACATCCACATAGAAACACAGCATTTGGGTTTTTATTGAAATCAAATAATAAGTACATATTGACATATTAATAATTAAGTTTTGTAAATGGCATTTACCAAGAATTAGTTTCTAAATCAAACTTGTGGTTTTCTTTCTCCCAAAATCCAAATAACTGTGTGGACTGTTTGCCTTTAAAGTTTCAAACATAAAAACTTCTCATGTAACTGGGTTTGCAAGTATTTTTGCTCTAAGGCCAACTATGCAAATTCAATTTTACACAGTAAGCTACAGTAGATTAAGGAAATAGTAACGTTTTGTACTTTTATGTCACCATAAAAACTACAAGTTGTGGTAAATATAAGTCAACTGTAATCCCTGTGACATTGTGGCTCTATATTCATGATTCTTTTAATGTAGCTTATCTTATTACATAATCTAAAGGTTGGTTAATTTTAAGTATGATCAACTTATATTTTAAGTAATTCATTGGTTATTCTTCAGTGTGTTTAAAATATGCTTAACACAGAAAAAGATGAACTGAATGTGTTTTCATTGCAGCAAATACTGCTCACAATGGGAAAGTTAATGGCTTATGTTTTACAAGTGATGGACTTCACCTGCTCACTGTTGGCACAGACAACCGAATGAGGCTCTGGAATAGCTCCAATGGGGAAAACACACTGGTGAGAGACTATGAAGGACCTTTTCAGTAAATGGATCTGTGGTGCACATCTTTTATACACTTATATACATGTACACTTATGTATATTATATTACGTTTTCTATAGGGGTGACTTCATTTCTTGTCTTGTCACAGCTGTTAATATATTTTGAAAAGATTCTTTAGGTGTGACCAGCTAATTCTCAAGTTAAGGCAAGCCATCCCACCTGGCTTTACTCTGTAGTTAAGAGTAAACTCTGATGTTTCTAATTAAAAAAATTGAGAACTGCTACAGATAAAGTTACCAACGTCAAATTTTACATTTAAAACTAGTCTTATCCTTTTCTTTACACATCCTTTCTAGCTAATAATTCTCTTTAACGTACTTGAGGGGTCGCTTTGACTACTACTATTAGTACTAGTATTTCTAATGCTAACAGCGATATGAATGTCTTTGTGTTTGCCATGATGGGCACAGACCCAGAGGCGTGTCTGCTAGGCAAGCACTCTGCCACTAATTGTATCCCCTACCCTCCCGTGTGACTGTGTGGAGTGGTCCTTTAATCTGTCTGAGTAAGGCTTAGGCAAGATGGAGGGCTAGGAATGGGCTTTCAGTAGAGAAGTGAGAGGGTCGCCCTGGAAAAGTGTTCTACAGTGTGTGTCACAGCTTATGCATTAGGGGTTTGCCAGTGACTCCATATCTAGAAGAGTGCATTTAGAATGGATAATAGAATTTTTAATGGGCTTCATCAAAGTAAATTATTCATAAAGAGATAAGCAATCCTCACTTGAAGGGACTTGAGACACTGATCCCAAAAAGTAAACTCTGGGGAGAAACCCTGTCTTCAAATTTATAAAGGGCTCGTCAGATTAAAAGACAAAATTCCACCCCAATTTACTTAATACTATTTTCAGTTTGGGTGTCATCATTTTGTAAATCAGACATATCAACTGCCTAAAAAACAATTACAAGGTTAAAAACATAGTACTGAGCTGCCCAATAGATAGCAGAGTGTAGTAATAAGCATATGTTTTTGCCTTATTTGTATAAATATGTGGAAGTACACATTTCCAATATGTTTACTTATAAACTATATACAAATATTAAGTCTACATATTAAGCTTAGTAAAACTTAATTTCTTATTTTTTTAGATAACAATATATAGAAATAGATTCTTTTTTTTTTATTTTTCCCTCATACCATGCTTAATGGATCCTTAATGGTTCATTGTATAATCTCCCTGTGGTTTGAAGTCTGGAGACCATGCCTTAAAGTACAGAGCAAATTCCTGCAGAGAACGTTCACAAGGAGACAAGTTTTTTGGCACAGTGACAGAAGAAAAGAATTCAGAGTGGGAATTGGTGATGTCCGCCCCATTATTGAAGCTATCCATCGTGTTGTGTGATGACGTAGGGAACTGAGTGTGTTCATTGGCACCATCCTTCATGTTGTGTGATGACGTAGGGAACTGAGAATCTGTTCTTTGTTCATTGACACCACTGCTAAGCCAGCCACAGTGCTGTTAGTTTCCCCTTGTGTAGCTGCTGGGCTCATGTCTGTTTAATTACGCTAATAGCCTAACTGTTGCTAGCTCCTCCCAGTGGACATCTTTCACTGATTCCTCCAAGTTTATGTATTGTTCAAACTGAATGCCTTCACCCGTTGTATAAGCCATGCATTCTCGTGTTCCAGCTTTGCATTCTCCTTGCCCCCTATTCTGTTGCACTGACAGCAGCCTTCACTTTAGAATACCCTCCTGCTGCTGCTTCTCAGCTTTCAAAGTTCATCTCAGGCTCAACCTGCCTCTGATTCTTCTACTGTATCTCAGAAGCTCCCAGAATACTCTGGGCTTATTTGTCTCACAGTGTACTATGACCATTACTTTAAAAAAAAAAAAACATTTAACAAAATATTTCTTTGGTTTTGTTAGCAGAGTTTACATGTAGTATTTGAGTCTGACATGTACTCACCAAGATACACTGATCAAATTACTTAGCCTTTCCATATGATCAGTTCTTTCTGCCCTTTCTTCTGTGATATTGCCTAAGTCTTACAGGGGTTGATGCAAATGTCCCATTTGCATGACGAAACAATCGCTTACTCTTAGCACTTGGATCAATTATGAGTTTTTGCACTAGCTGTTGCCCACTGCAAAAAGAAGCTCCTGCCCAAGGTTGAGAGCAGCATTGATCTGTTAGTGTAAACATTAATATTTAGGAGGCTGTGTGATACCACGGCCATTTAGCAATAGTAGTAGATCCCCTCTACAAGGTGCAGTTTCCATAGCCATAATTTTTTTACTGAGTTTGTTGTAACAGTGGTCTCAAATCTACTCAGAAAATGGTTGATTACCCAAAGGTCTTCCCTGCCAGTATTATACCAGTGGGCACATTGGCCGTGGCAGGTTGGTATTGTTGCATTCAGGTTTCATCACTGGGTAATACCATTAATAATTCTTCTCCTCTTGAAGTGTGTACAGCACCTTCCAACAGTGTGAAAGCTTGCTAGCATGGATAAAGTTTTGGGGTCAGTTCTAACTTGGTTTCTCTACAGTGAATGGCATCTTCAGTAATAGGGTCATACCATGATGGTGGGCAACCAAAAGCAATGGCTATATCCTTTGCTACTTTAAGGGCCTCTGGGATCTGGCTGACCAGTAACTTGTAGGAAAGTATCCCATGCCTAGCACTGAGATTTTCACTTAACTGTGTCTTCTGTGGGAGGCATTGTCCACCCATGCATGGTACGTGTGTTCAAGTCCTTTACTAGTAGTTCTCCATAAGGATATTTCAAACATCTTTAGTTTTCATTAACCCAGCTCCCTCCTCCTCATGTTCCTTTCCTCATTTTCATGTAAACCTCCAGTGATCTTTCATGCCCTAAGTGTCCTGCTCTCCCCTCACCCCTGAGCTCCTGCCCCTTCCGGATTATACCAATTCTAGCTTCCAGAACCACCCCTCCCCCATAGGTAAATGGTACATACTGGCTCATCAGGTGAAAATGAAAGAATGTTCTTCCTAACATGTAGGAATCAATAAGTCTGACTGGCAACCTTCATTTCCCAGGTGCTCTCCTGTACATAATGTCCTTTGAGTTTTCACAATGGCGTTATGGTAAATGGTGTTGTTTCCATTTAGCAAATTAGAGAAATGGAACTTAGAAGTGAAATCTGAGTGACCCCTCCAACAAATAGATTTCAAAACCCAAGTTCAGTGTTTCATGTACTTCACCGCTGCTGCCATGGGGTGACTAGAGGCACAAGCTTATCATTTTCAGTTGTTTTTCCATTGTGCTGAATTGAGTCCTCTGGGCATACTCCTCTCTTCTGCCTAATTGTTTCCTTAAGATAAATTCCCAGGAGCAATTACTAGATTAAGAAGTAAGAATATCATTATTGTTCAGTGAGTTAGTTTTGATAGAAGTGAAGATTGTTAATACCATTCACTAGCACACTTAAAATGGTTGTGATAGTTAGGTGTACATTGTGTTGGTTTTATGACAACACATTCATGTAAAAAGTTCAGCCCATCCAAAAGAGGCATCTTGCTAATTTTTTTTTGTACTAAACCATTTGTCCTGTTTGAAGGAATAGCCAAATTATGACACCAATAACATGTTTTCCTTACTTTTTACCAATGTGAAGGTTTCTTAAAATTTTAGCCACACCAGAAGCTGGGGATGTAGTAAGGTTAGAGATCTCACCTAGTGTCCATGAGGCCCTGAGTTTTGTCTTCAGGTACCAAAAAGGGGTTGGGGGGGGATTTGAAAGTTTGATGGTCAGAAATAATTCTTAAAGTTTGGCCTAGTTGTATCATCTGTCCCTTGTGGGTTTATTCACAATTTCTAGTTCCTCAAATCTAAAATGTACATTTGTATCATTGGCCCTATTAGTTTCTTTAAACTTAAAGGCGCTTTCTATATAACATTATAATAAGGGAAGAAAGTATTTTTTCAGACTTTGTTGCTTTTTAAACTCAGGCTTAAGAAGATGAGTAACATTATGATTTTAAATCTGCAGGTGAACTATGGGAAAGTTTGTAATGACAGTAGGAAAGGACTGAAATTCACAGTCTCCTGTGGCTGCAGCTCAGAATTTGTTTTTGTTCCATACGGTAGCACCATCGCTGTTTATGCAGTTCACTCAGGAGAGCAGCTCACTATGCTCAAGGGGCACTATAAAAGTGTCGACTGCTGTGTGTTTCAGTCTAATTTCCAGGTAAGAATGATGCTTAAGGGAATTTAAAATGATTAGATGGCTGGCTTGCCAGACTTAGCAGTGTATAAAACAGGAAGTTGTGGTTCTGTTTTCAAGTGTTAATATGCTTTTAATCATTCTGAAGTACAGTCCCAACAATCTACCTTTGAGATAGTATTTCTTTAATAGAGATTAATAGAACCTGATTGGCAGATGGCATAGGAAGTGTATATGAATCAATATAATATTGTGCAAGTGATTGGGACATGTTGTCTTTCCTTTTGAATATGAGCTCCATTTAACCATTTGAAATGTAATAAATTATTTCTTCATGAATAATCCTTTGGTGCGTGCGTGCGCTCATTTGTTTAGTTCCAAAATATAGTATACCTTGATGTCACCGCTCCTAACAGCCACTTCGCTTTAGCTGCTGATTTTCTCGGGTATTTCTATATGTAACTATGTTGAAGTCGGAAATTAATTATTTCATTTCTTCATTTTCTGGCAGAAGCTGATACAGTTCAGTGGATAGAGACTGAAATGGCTAGTAAAGTATACCTTTGAATTAGTGCAACTCATTAATTTCTCACACTTTATTTGTGCGTGGAATGTCGCATTCCAGGGCACGTTTGTAGAGATCAGAGGATAACTTACAAGAATTGATTCTCTCCCTCCATCCACTGGGTCCTGAGATCAAACTCAGACCATCAGACTTAGCAGCAAGCTCCTTTGCTCACTGAGCCACTTCAACAGCCCCACAAAATTTCTTGAATAATTAGCTGTTAGTTTTCCTCTTGATGTGACCAAAATACATACCCAGAAGCAACTTCATGAGGGAATGGTTGATTTGAGCTTACAATTAGAGCATACACAGTTTGTGATGGCAAGGAAGTCAGGCGGCAGGGACACAGTGCAGCTGGCCTCTGCGTCAGCTGGCAGGAGGCCCAGCAAGGTGAATGCTGACACCTGGCTTGCTTTCTCCTTTTATTCGGTCTAGAACCCCAGCCTCCTGGATGATACCAACCACATCCATGGTCGGGCTTCCCTCAGCAAACAGAGCTTTCTGGAAACACCTCATAGAAACAACTAGAAGTGTTTCAGTGTGATTCTAAAGCCAGTCAAGTTTGCGATGAAGATTATCATAGTACCCATGAATTTTCTTTAACATCTTTACTTTTCTTTAATCAAAGCAATTTTCATTTCTGTTGAATCAAAGTAAACAGTCCCTCTGAGACACAACCAAAATTTTAAACAAGATATTCTGACTACAAGGTATGGCATTCTTCTAGACAGGAACTTATTAGCAGAGAGGCCTGGGAAGGTTAAGACTGTACCAAGAAGGGTCTGGAGAGATGACTCAGCAGCTAAAAACATCTGCCTTTACAGAGGACCTGGGTTCAGTTCCTAGCACTCACATGGCAGCACATAACTGTCTGTAACTCTGATTTCAGGGAATCTGATACCCTCTTCTGGACTCCTTAAGTACCAGGCACACATGGTACACATACATACATTATAGACAAAACATTTATTTATATATACTACCAAGTAAGCTGGGTATGGTGACACAGACACCTGTAATCACAACATTCTGGATTATTGTCAAGATTTCAAAGTTGGGCTAGGCTAGATAGCAAGTTTCAAACTAAAAACAAAACAAAAAAGTATTCTGAAACAGAGATTGCCCTCATATCCTGACCAGCCAGACACCTGGAATGGGCTGTCACCTGTGAAATGCTCTGCCTGTGTTATGTTGTTTTAGTCTACTTTGTTTTTTTAGATAAGATCTCATATAAACCAGACTGGCCCAAAACTTGCTATGAAGCCAAGAATAATCTCAAACTCATGATCCACCTGCCTCCAGTTCCCACGTGCTGGGATTACAGTCATGTGCCACCACTTGCAACCAAATACCACGTCTTTGTCTGCTTCAAACTCAGAAAGATGTAGTTGCTGCACAGTCAGAACATTTTCCATTTACTGGAGGGAAGGGAGTGAGCTGTTTGTTCCCATTGTTCAGTGGGAGCCAACAGCATGTCTATAAAGACATCGATGCACACTGTGCATCAGCCCACAAGTCCTTCCATTTAGTAAATGTCTCAGCAGACAGGGTAGAGTCTTGAAGCTTTTGAAGAACAGCCAGGTAGACAGCTGTAAGCTAAATGGACCTTTTGGCCCGTTTTTTCAAAGAAAGCTTGTGCTTTCTTCATTGAAGTCATTATTGTAGATGCCTCAGTTTGGGGCAAAGAGAAGCTACTACACATTTTACTTTCTCTAACACTTAAAATATGCTTCTGAGTATTGACAAAACTAGTAAGACATTGAATTTCTACAAGATTTTCTTACTGTTTGTAAGTTCTGACATATCCTGGCACTGTTTTAAAATATAAAATAAAGCTTCATGTTATATTGGCTATTCCTAAAAAGATTCCAGTAAGACGGTGGGGTGGATACTCTCATCTATAGAAGGTACAAATTGGAATGATCTTTTTGGAGAATGAAATCTCCGGATACAGCCAAAAGCTTTGTAGCATTTCTAAGAAGTTATGCAAAGAATTTAAAGATATCACATTTAAAAATACTAAAGAGCATCATCATATTTTATTTAATGAATAGAAATTAAGTTAATGGAATTAATCTAACCTAACTCAACCCACTTAGTCTGATCATTTCAAAAATTGATACAGCTCATTTACTGTGATATCAGCTTTAAATTGATCAGTAGCCAAATCTTTGCTTTCTGTATTACAGGAACTTTATAGTGGTAGCAGGGATTGCAATATTCTTGCTTGGGTACCATCTTTGTATGAACCAATTCCTGATGATGATGATGAGGTAAGTGGTATTTTTATCTACTGTGCAACAAGCTCTGATTATAAGGATTAGTGTTTTACTTATGTGGGAGAGACTGTTACAGCAGTTCTTGCTGTTTTCTGGTTGTACTGATAATTTGTTACCACACATCTATACAAATTCAGAAAAATATTAAAAGAAAAACATAATTTCTCAATTATAATTAATATAGACTTTTATTTGCTGTTTTTCCCTGGTATTGGTTTTTTTTTTTTTTTTTTTTTTTTTTTGGTTTTTCGAGACAGGGTTTCTCTGTGGCTTTGGAGGCTGTCCTGGAACTCGCTTGGTAGTCCAGGCTGGTCTCGAACTCACAGAGATCCGCCTGCCTCTGCCTCTCGAGTGCTGGGATTAAAGGCGTGCGCCACCAACGCCCGGCCCCCTGGTATTGTTTTTAAAACAATAGTTAATTCATAGTCATATAACTTGGAGTCTTCTCTCATTGCCATGATACAGTAATCCCCATTCATGTCACTAATAACTATTTGGGAACTTTATTTGGGGGGGGGAGGGGCGGAGGACTGAGACAGTTTCTCTATGTAGCCTTGACCTGAGACTTGGGATCAAAGGCATGCACTACCAATGCCCGGCTAGAAACATTTTTAATGATATGATATTCTGTCATTTATATGTCATAGTTTAAATATTTAATTGTTTCTGTTAATTGTTTTAAACAATATCAATATAAATATATTTTCAAAAGCTGTTCATATTTCTAATTGGTTTTAGGATAGATTCCTAGAAGTAGAGTTATCTCTTTTTGTTGTTTGTTTGCTCCCTGTGTGGCTTTAAGCCACCAGGACACAAATGACGATACGGTTAATCTTGTCATTGGCTATTCTGAAGAATTTGGGCTTCACAGTGAGGCCTACTTAGGGAGCTTTCATTCCCTTGAACTCCATACTGCACTGATGATGGGGACAGCATTTACCCTTGTCACTTCACTGCCAAGATCCACAGTTTACCAAAGTTGGTAGCTGGGCATAAGCTCTGGTTCCTCTTTAAGTGGTATGGCCACATACCAACTTTACCAAAGTCACGTGATGGCATTTGTCTAGGTCGATCCTGTGGTGACACATGCATCCAGCATTACCTTGGCCTTCTGTGTACTTGTGTCTGTCAGCTCTGGCTCTGGCTCATGTAGTCACAGAGTTTCTGAATCGCCCTCAGTTAAGATGGCATGGCAACTGTGGAAAGGAAGGAGCTGGAGTTAACTTGAGTTATTATGTATGAAATTTTAAAATCTGTCTGCTCACAGTGTCAAATCTTATCAGTTCACACTTAGATCAGTGACCTCACAGTGTCTATCTAAGGATAATATGACAGTGTGAATACAAAGAAAGCCTTTCGGTGCAGGTGTTAAACAGATGAAGGAGGCAAGAGTCCTACCCTGAAGTATCCTCTCTTACTTTAAATTTACAAAACATGGTAGTGTTCTAAATTGAGCGCTGGTATAATATCTTAGGGACCTTCTCCTGATGGGAAGTGGAAAAATTTACGTATACATCAACTAACAAGCATTGAGTGACAGGAACAGGCTTAAAAGTTTGGTCTTTAAACATGAATTCTGCTGTGTAATTAAACGTGTCTAAGGTGTCATCTCTTTCAGGGACTATTCTGGAAAGCAGTGTTAAACATCCCAGTTTATCCTAACTTCAAGGATATAAAAATGTGTATGAAAGAATTTTTTTTTGGAGGACTCCCCTTATGGTAATTTAAAGCAATTCAAACAGAGATGGAAGAAAATCACTAATAAAGCGAATTTGAAAATCTGAAAACACTTTTCATATTTTGAGTTCCTTTATAAAAAGAGGGCCTTTCAGAAGGCACCAGAAGCTAAACTTTACATAGGTAGCTACTTGGTAGTATCTAGCAGTTATTGGCACAGATATATTTTATAACTGAATTTGCTACCATTGTAGTCAATATGAAACCTAGAACATTTTTTTCTTTGGGCCCTAAACCAAATAAAAGAGAAAAGGCACATTCATAAATATTTAGGCAACTGGCCAAAACCAAATGAATATCTCCAGATTTTATCACATGTCTAGTTTAGTTTGTTATGGCTTGATTAGTTTTAGCATACAGCCTCTTTGAGTGACTAGATTTTGAATAGTTTGATTTAGACATTTATTTTGCATTTTTATTTAATTATTCTGTCCTTTTTTGGGAATCCCTACATATATCAAAATTATAACTTTGCGGGTTATGTTGGGAAGTATAACAGTCATTTACCAAATGAAAATAATAAAAGTAAATGAAAAAATGGAGCTACTGTGATTTACCCAGAGGAAAGAATATTAGAAGAAACTCAAGTTGCTTGTTATGATTTTTGACTAATCATTGTATATTTCCTTGATAGATAGCTATGGTGATAGTGAGGATAGGCCACCTAAAACAACTTTTATATACTATTAAAACAAGTAGAGATGCATGTGTGGGCCACAGGATTGTAATCCCATTACTTCAAAAGTTGAGGCAGGAGAACTGTGAGAAGGAGGCTGACTTGGGCTATCCAGTAAAGTCCTGTATCACAAAAATGGTAAGAGCTGAGCTATGCATTCAAGTTTTAGGCTATAAAGCCTTATCTTTTCAGATACACTACTGCAGACTGGAGAGATAATTGTAATTTTTAGTAAAAATAATAAAATGAGTCAGGCATACTGGTACACTCCTCTAGTACCAGCACTCAGGAGACAGAGGAAGGATACTCTCCGAGTTTAAGGCCACCCTGATCTACAGAACGAGTTTCAGAACAGACTAGGACTAGACACAGAAACCCTGTCTTGAAAAACAAAGAATAAGTAAAGAAAATAAAATACACTGTTCCTGTTCTCAACTTTAAAATATGAATAGCTCATTAATATAAAGTGCTATATGCTAAGGTTATTTAATTCCATGAAATATTGTCTTAAAAGGTTCATATGAATGTAGGTAGAATGTGACCATGGTATATACCCCAACAGAGAAGTCTTGAGAACTGTTTAAATATGAGAACTGGTGGCATATGTGGATGTTTACAGTTTAACTCATGTTCTTCCGTGAGCTGCTAAACAGGTAACTTGCCATTTCCAGGGGAGGTGGTGTTAGTAGCTCAGCATAATACAAAGAACATACATATGTGCAGTCCTCGGCTAGGTCAAACTCCGACCTGCCCTTGTCAACAAGCTCCATCAGCTATTACCCTGGGACTACTTGTGGCATTTGCAAATGCCCAAGTCAGATTGTCAAACCAAAGTTGTTCTTAGGTTTCCTTTCGAAAGGGGTGTTTCTCAGATTTTAAAGGAGTAATTTAATTCTACCTGCAGAAACTGAATGACTTTAGATGACAGGGATAAATAATATGGTCTTAAAATTTGTTGTTTAATTGGCAGACTGTTGTATTATATCTGAGGAATCTGTTTGCATTTACCCAGACTTTCTAGTTGGCATGGTCAACTCAAGCCAGTTTAACTCCTAGCTACCTTTAACTGCCAGAGAAGTATAGGAAAGGTACGCTACAGTTTTAAACTTACTTCTTATCAGGAATCCTAGTTTCAGCTGAATGTGGTGACTCATTCTTGTCATCTTAGCACTAAGGGGACTAAGACAGCTTAGGCTACAAAGCAAGATTCGGTCTCAAAACAAAACAGAATGTTTGACATTGGCACAGGAAATGATGTTTCTACTCTGCACTTGTGCACTTGCTGACCTGGAAAACTCTGAGACTTTCCAGTAACACTTGAAACTTTTCCAGACATATCCTTATGATGCTTTGTCTTAATCCTCCTCAGTATTGGGTTCTGGGCTGGATCCCTTCTAAACTCAAGCTTCATCATCCCCATGCACAGTATCTGCCAGTAGAACCAGAAACCTGGTAGAGGGAGGTGTGTGCATGCATAGACTGGGTGTCCACTAGGAGGAGATGTTGTAGAGAAAACCAAAGTAGAGTAATGTGTACTAAATCCACCGGCAGCATTGTCATTGCAGCTCTTGACCATAGATGTTTTATTTGTGATTGTTTTAATACTAAAGTATAGTAGTAATAGTATAATGCATTCCAAATGCCCGTTTACTACTGCAAGTATTAAATATATGTGCAAGTATGTCAGAACCTTGATTTTGTTTCTATCGTTACCAAAGCAAAATAATTCATAACAAAATATGTAACATGATTAAGACGCGGTTCAAGCTAAAAGATCAGAGAAGCAAACCAGCCAGGCCACTAGGTCTTACCTCTGCCTCAGATTAAAAGGGCTGATCCTGTCTCCACAAATCCTCAGAGTACAATGCTCTACACTGTGGACGGTGTTTCTGTCCAGCCTGGTCTCTCTGCCTTTCAGCCCCACATAAACACACAAATACTTACGTTAATTAGAAACTGTTTGGCTGATGGCTCAGGCTTCTTATTGGCTAGTTCTCTCTTAATTATTAACCTTTTCTATTAAACTATGTATTGCCACGAGGCTGTGGCTTACCTGTAATGCTCCAGCATGTTACTCCTTTAGTCTGCTACATGGCATCCCTCTCTGGTGGCCTTTCTCTGCCTCCTCTCCCCAGAATTCTCTTCATCTGGTAGCCCTGCCTATACTTCCTGCCTAGCTACTGGCCAAACAGTGTTTTATTCACCAACCAATAAGAGAAACATATATACAGAAAGACATCCCCCATCACTCCACCAAACTTCCAGACTACAATTCTATGCCTTCCCTGTCTGGAAACTAAATCTCACATGAGACTCTTTGCTTCTTCTTTTCATACCGCTCAAATCCTGGAATTAAAGGCATGAGCTCTGATTCACTCTCATGTAGCCCAGGATGGTCTTGGTCTCACTGAGATCCACCTGCCTCTACCTCCCAAGTGCTGGGATTAAAGGTGTGTGATCCCTAGTGCTAAGATAACCTTTATGTGAGCTGTTTTTATTTTAGAGTGAGTCAATTTTGTGTCGCTCAGTGTGAACTTGAACTTACAGAGATCCATCTACCTCTGTCTCCTGAGTCCTGGGATTAGAGGTGTGTACCACTACCACCTAGCTTCTATAGCTAACTAATGTGGCTGGTGGAATTAAAGGTGTGTATCACCATTGCCTGGCTCTATGACTGTGACTAGCTTTGCATTTTATCTCCAGTGACATTAGTAAATCATAACCAATATATCACCATAGAAATATAAATTTGTTCTTCTGTTGAATCATCAAATGAAATGGCAATGATTGGTAAATTACACATTGGGCTTCCATAGTGGAATTAGAAGAGCTTTGTGTAGCTTCTATTCCTCAAGGATATTTTTGGTAACTATCTAAGGCAGGGTTAAAAGTCTAAAGACAGGAGAGAAGTGTCGCCTTTGAGGTTAAACCCTTTTGAGCAGACTGGTTTAATAGCTAAATCTTCAAACTCCAAAAGATTACAGACATGCTCTACCACACCCAGCTTCACACAGCCTCCTTGATAAACATCAGATTTCAACTGTAAGGAATTTGTCCCATTAATATCAGACATCATGAGATTCAGCAAACATTTGGGTCAAAGAATGAATGAAGGAACAGACTTAAAACTTACATCACTGCTGCTGGAAATGAGTGGTTAGCTGGAGTTTGGTCATAGTTTTGATTTGAACATTTGGAGGCAAATGTAAGGAAATTTTTACTGTGTGCATAGTGGTGATAGCCACTAAGTTTATGGATGTTGTCTGGCCTGTTTAACAACTGTGAAGCATGCCTTCATCACCATATTGTTTTCTAGGTAGTCTACTAGGTGTGGGGAAACTACTGGGGATGCTGGCTTTTCCATTTGAATTGTAAAATTCCGTCATGTTGATAGTAAAGGAAATGACATTCTTAGACATGACTTAGGGGTTGCCTTCACAGAAAACGTTCCCCTGCAAAAGGTATATATCTAAGAAAATTAACAGTTAGCTATTAAAATCTGGGTCTTATCAAGTAGCCAGATTCGAAAGCTGCAGCATAAGAAACAAACTTGATTCCTAATTCAAGAAAAAAAAAATGAGAGCATCTTTTAAGCCTTTGAAGTGATTTCCTAGAGATGAAAAAGAAGTTGTTTGGTTTCCCATACAAGTGAACTGACTTAGTAATTAATTTAGTTAGTCTCTTGTTGCTAAACCTTTTTCACTTACGGCTCTAAGGTGGAAGAATATTGTGATACTTTCTTGCAATTTTGAGTAAACAATCTAAATAGCTTTCAGAAAAAAATCTCCCAGGGAAACCTCCATGCTAATAATTGCCCATGCTACCATTTCTCCTGTAGTTTACCTATGCTTTAGCACTGTTGGCTGTAAAAAGTAAAAGACTATCTGTGTAATAACCCACAGTAATTTTTTATTACAAACTATGCTATTCATCTGTGCTTGGTGTCACATGCTTATCATCCTAGCCCTCAGGAGGATAAAGCAGGGGGTTTCCCACAAACTCAAAGCCAGGTGAGCTGTAGAACTGGAGTGTGTCAGGCTAGAGAGCCGGCTCAGTGGCTGCTCTTCCAGAGGAGGTGGGTTAGATTTCTGGTATAAGGGTTCACAACCATCTGTAACCCCTGAACTGTGATGAGTTTTGCGCCAGCCTAGACCACAGAGCCCCAGAACTGTCTCAAGGGTGGGGTATGTTATGACCAGTCTGCTGTGGGCATGCATCCAGTCTTAACCCAGAATGTCAGTGTTATGCCTTCTCCACAGAGTTGAAGAAACACTGTGAACAGTGTCATAGAGTAGATCTACACATGCATTTGTGAGCTGATTACTTTGAGGAAAGCAAGTTATTTTGGAAGAGTCAATTTTGTTAGTTTTAAATGAGTTTATATTATCTTTACATTACTTTTGTTTTTAAACTGGCAATAATACAGTTTCCAAATAATCTATTAAAATAGCATTTTTGAGCCTATTATGAACCTAAAATTATGAAATACAAAAATAGATTCTTCTCTCTTTTTTTAGGCTACAACTAAATCCCAGTTGAATCCAGCATTTGAGGATGCCTGGAGCAGCAGTGATGAGGAAGGGTGACTGTCAGCCAGCCTTTGCTCCTTGTCCATCGGACTAGTACATCAGCAGTGTTGGGGTGGGATTGGGCTTATGACTGTTCTTCTGGTTGTTGTTGTTGTTTTTGAGACAAAGTCTCACTGTGTAGCCCTGGCTAACCTGAAACCAGCCTCAAACTCTCTGTCTAGCCCAGACTAGGCTCAAACTTGCAGCCATTCTCCTGCCTCTGCTTCCCAAGTGTTGGGATTTGAGGTGTGTACCACATTGCCTCTCGTGTGTGTGTGTGTGTGTGTGTGTGTGTGTGTGTGTGTGTTTTGTTTTAACTCTTTTTTTTTTTTTTTTTTTTTTTTGGTTTTACGAGACAGCGCTTCTCTGTATTGTTTTGGAGGCTGTCGGTCCAGCCCGGCCTCGAACTCACAGAGATCCGCCTGCCTCTGCCTCCCAAGTGCTGGGATTAAAGGCGTGTGCTACCATTGCCCGGCTGTTTTAACTCTTAAGTCAGTTTCTGGTCTGTTAATCCTGAATTTGAATGCTTCCCCCTGTTTTAAAAATAGATTAATGTGTACAAAACCCTAAGATAAACTTCTCTGTGGTTTAATTAATCAAAACCTTTCTCCTTGAGCCTGTTTGCCATAGTGGTAGGTCAGCTGCTATGGGCACAGTACAAGAACAGAAGCCATTGTTCTCAGCCTGGCCTATGTAGGTCTGATGAGTGGAATGTGTCTCAGCTCTGGCTCCCCTGGCTGTGCTATCAGCCTGCCCCTTTCCACCTGGGGGGGGGGAGGGTTAGCAAGGATAATTGGAGGAAAACAAAACAGTTATTGCAGAGGTAACATCACAACTCTGTGTTCTTTTTATCCATATTGAAGGCTTCGTGTAATTGACTTGTCTTCTGTCTTTATGTCTAACAGTTTACAGCTCATGTCTCCTACAGTCTGAACAGTGTATCACATGGGCAATCTCCTGACCACTTGTTACTTTAAAGGGCAGCTTGCACTCAGTCCTCCTTTCCTTCCATGCCGAGTCTAGATTAAACATGAAATGTTGTAATAAAATTTCTGTTCTCTCCTTTTCTTGTGTCAACCCATGAGTTATTATGGATTGCCCCATGCTCTGTGTGTGTGTGTGTGTGTTTACTAGGGATTGAACCCAGGGCCTCACACATCAGGCAAGAGAACTAGCACTAGGCTGAGGCCCAGCCCTATGACACTAATCTTGTATTCCCTTTCTTCTCGATTCTTAGCAGCAGCAGAATAGTAAGAGGCTTCTGTGAACGGAATACTAAATATATAATTGTTGGCCTTTAAGTGTTAGTGCTAGGCCTAATAGCAGACTTTTCTCACCAAATGTTTTTTATGTCCTGGCTAGTTTTATATCAACTTGACATAAGCTAGAACCGTCTGAAAGGAGAAAACTGCAACTAAAAAATAAAAACAAAAACAACAAAAAACCTCCATAAGATGGGGTCGTGGGCAGGCCTGTAGGGCATTTTCTTAATTTGTGGTTGATGTGGGATGCCTAGCTGGTGCCATATCTGGGCTGGTGGGTCCTGGGTTATTTAAGAGAGCAGGCTGAGTAAGCCATGGCGGGGAGAAGCAAGCCAGTAAGCAGCACCCCTCCACAGCCTCTGTATCTGGTTGTGCCTCCAGGTTCCTGGCTACTTTAGGTTCCTGACTTGGTTTCCCTCAGTGCACTATGACACAATATAGGTAAACCAAATAAACCCTTTCCTCCCGCAGTTGCTTTGGTCATAGTGTTCATGGCAGCAATAATAGTAACCCTGAGTAGGACACTGTGCCTTTGAGTTGATTTTTTGAAAGCCTGACCATTCTGCTCATTTTCCCTTAGGGAGTATGTTTTGACCTTTAAGAGAGCAATTAAAATGAAACTTTGTTTTAAATTTTAGGTTGTCTTCTAAACATTATGGATAACTCTAAAAGGAAAGTAGTGTTCTCCTAGAATCATTCCAAGGTACCCAGGCCTTAGCCATTCTCTGTGCTTGTCTAGGACATGTACAATTTTAAATGCTTTCGGGTTTGCCGTGATGCTCTTGTGGAAAACCCTATCCTCTCAAACTGGCACTCTCCCCTGTTCTTCATAGTTTTGCCTCAGGTGTATTGGCTTAGTATGTATTCCTTTCTATTACAGTTCTTTACAGACCTATGTCAATGTATAGGATTTACCTGTTTTTACAAGATGAGATGACATAATTCTGTCTAAATTTTTCAGATTCAGCTTGTATAAACCCCTCTGTGTTATTATAATGGAGTTGTTATTTTTCCTAATCCCTGACTGGGACACATATATAGTGTACATTGTGATGTACATTCTATTTTCCTTAGGCAGTGGATTTGGGTGGAAAACTTACTTGAATATCTTTAACTCTTCCACATTTTTTCTTCTTACTGGGCACATGAGATTTGTGTGTGTGTGTGTGTGTGTGTTCTAGTATCTGTTCTGACGCTGTGATAAAATGCCCTGAACAAAGGCAATTTAGTTTAGGAGAAAACGTGTTTATTTCAGTTAACAACCTCAGTTATAGTCTATCACTATGGGAAAGTCAGAACAGGAACTTCAAACACTAGCCACATCACCTCACAGACAAGAGAAGGGAATGCACAGCTGACAACGAAATGGCCTTCATAGAAATGTCTTCTCTACCTGAAGTGGACATGTGGTCTTTGTAAGATGAACACGGTGACTGACTGGGTAAGTGGAAACGAGGAGTGTTGGTTCCAGACAAGCTTGGGAAACTAAATATATTACTTTTTTTCATCTTGGATCAAATGCCTGACAAACGAAGCGTTGACTCTAGTGGATAGTTTGAGTATTCAGGACATCATGGTGGGAAGGAGCAGATTGTAGCTGCAGGGGGCAGACAAGATGGCAGAGACAGGACCGGAAGCAGGGTCAGGTATAAATGTCAAGATTCCTCCCTGAAGGTGAGATCTACTTTATCTAGACTCCACCTTCCAAAGATTCTGCAATCTCTGAAAAGTAGCACCACCAGCTAGGGACAAAATATTTGAACATAGGAGCCCCTAAGGGACATTCCACATTCACTCTCTAATACTCCATCGCTGGTCTCTAAGTTTATGGTCATCTCATAATGCAAAGTGCATTCAGTTCAACTTCAGAAGTCCCCATACTCCTCAGCATCAACACTTCCTTCCTGTAGTAAGCAAGTACGTACTCCCATTCTAAAGCAATGAGGCCCTCTTCCCCTTGGACTTTCAAGCATCCCTGTGGGTGGTTTGCTTTCCTGAGCCTCTAAAATGGCCCAGTAAGTCCACTTATAATATTTAGAACTTTTTTTAAAACCACAACTCTAAACTCTTTCGTATTTCTCCTGCAAATTAGTCCCAAAGTTTGCAAAACAAGTAGTTCCTAAATAAATGCACTGTTCAAAGCTATACTTAAGAATCCCTAATAGAGTCCTTCTAGACCCTACCTCTGGCACGCCCAGCCTCAGGTGAGCTTAGGTCCTCCTGGGACACCTCCCCTGTCCATCACTCACTCCCTCAATCTTCTGGGAGCTCTCTCCTGGCATAAAGAGGACCTGCCCACAGAGGAAAGACATCAGTCCCCCCAGACCCAACCTGCAGTTCTCCCCACACCTGAGCACCCAGCTCCAGGTGACCTTGGGTCCTCCTGGGACCGCTTCCCTGCCCACCACCCACTCCCTCTGTCTTCTGGGGCCTGCTTCTGGCATCGAGAGGGCCCGCCCGCCCACACAGGAAAGACTTGAGCCCTTCTAGACCCCATCCCCAGCACTCCCAGCCTCAGGAAAGAAGAAGACCAGTAGAGAAAGCCACCACCTGAACACATCACAAGAAGACAGTATAAGAACAGCAATAGAAAGACCAATATGACTCCAACAGAATCTAGAGACCCCATGCCAGCAAGACCTGAAAGCACAACATAGATGAAGCAGAAGAAACAGACCTTAAAAATTATTTTATGAAGATGATAGAGACCCTCAAAGAGGAAACGAGGAAATCCCTTAAAGAAATAAAAGAAAACACAAGCAAAAAAAAAAAAAATACATGAAATGGAAGGAAAGATGAACCAAAAAATTCAAGAAATAAATCTCTTAAAGGACCTAAAGAGTACCAAGAAAAAACAATCAAACAAATGAAGGAAACAACTCAAACAGTTTAAGGATTGAAAGCTGAAATAGAAATAATAAAGAAAACACAGAATGAGGGGATCCTGGAAATAGAAAATCTGGGTAAACGAAACTAAAGATGCAAGTATAACCAATAGAATACAAGAGATAGAAGAGAGAATCTTAGGTTTTGAAGACTCATAAGAGAATATACAGTCATCAACCAAAGGAAATCTCAAGTCCAACAAATCCCTAACACAAAATATCCAGGAACTATGGGACACTGTGAAGAAGCCAAACCTGAGAATAATAGGTATAGAAGAAAGTAAAGAAATACAGCTCAAAGGTACAGAAAACATTCAACAAAATCATAGAAGAAAACTTACCTAACCTAAAGAAGGATATGCCTATGAAACTACAAGAATTTTATAAAACACCAAATAGGTTGGACAAGCAAAAGAAGTCCCCTCTCGGCATTTAATCAAAACATCAAACCTACAGAATAAAGAGAAAATATTAAGAGCAGCTAAGGAAAAAGGCCAAGTAACATATAAAGGCAGACCTATCCGAATTACACCCGGCTTCTAAATGGAAACTATGAAAGCCAGAAGATCCTGGACAGATGTCTTACAAATGCTAAGGGAACAAGGATGCCAGCCCAGACTACTATATCCAGCAAAGCTTTTAATTACCATAGATGGAGAAAACAAAATATTCCAGATAAAGTGAGATTTAAACAATACATATCCACGAATCCAGCCCTACAGAAAGTGCTGGAAGGAAAACTTCAAACCAACGAAGATAACTACACACACAAAGACATAGGCAATAGATAACCCCACTTTACCAAACACCAAAAGAAAAAGGGAGGAAATCCTATATACAATAACACCACCACCAATAAATCAAAAACAACCAAAAATCAACAATCAATGGTCATTAATATCCCTCAATGTCAATAGCCTCACTTGCCTATAAAAAGACATAGACTGGCAGAATGGATATGAAGACAGAACCCATCCTTCTGCTACATACAAGAAACACATCTCAACGTCAAAGACAGACGTTACCTCAGAGTAAAGGGCTGGGAAAAGATTTTCCAATCAAACCCAAGAAACAAGCTGGTGTAGCAATCCTAATATCTAGCAAATTATACTTCAAATTAAAATCAATAAAAAGAGATGAAGAAGGACATTTCAT